GTTGGCATCCCGCTGATGCGACGTTTCGTTGATGTTGAATCCAGGCCGGCAACAGGTAGAAGACATGCACGTGCACGGTGCACAACGAATACAAGCAACAGCGACGCGCATTTCGAGAGGAGTTTAGATTCACGGCGTTGCGTAGAAGGATGCTCTGCTCTTTCGCATTGCTTGGTGCCATGCGATCTATCGAGAGCCAGAGGAGTGTGTTTACGACGGAGGGCGAAATATTCATGGCAAACTGTAGATTTGGGTGGTAGATGAGATGCCGGGACAGTCGAAGAGGTGCTGAGTTCCAAGATATTGCGGGACGCCCTCAGCAACCTCGAGTGCAGGGGTTAGAGGAACCACAGAACAAGTGGACATTTCAACAGGACATTGAAGACACAAAGCGACCTGGCGACTAGCGTATCTGTAGCTTATTCTCTCACCTCCCGCTCGAGCTTCTCGAGCTCCTTGAGCTCCTCGGAACTGACGAAGTCCCCGATGCCAACAGAATTCTCCTCTTGCCACCGGTGGCCCTTCTCAAGCCAGGAAAGGGCGACGGCATCGCCTTTGCCAAGGTCGAGGCCGTACTCGACCGCGAGGGCGTTTGCTAGAGGGCCGGCCTTCACCCGCACGTTGTAGTGCGGGCACGAGTCTTTCCATACATCCATCCCGTCGATGTGAATGTGGTTCACCCTCGCCGCCTCCGCATCCCCATCGAAAATCTCCATAAGGTCCTGTTGTAGGTAGTTGTGAATCGGAGGGTGGGTTCGCAGGTGGGTGAGGGTGGTGATTCTACTTGAATAAGTTCTCCCTTCTTCCCCTCGCTCCTCGACAAGCTTTTGCTTAGACATGGGTNCCGTCGCTTATCCAGAAGCAAATGACCTGCATCAAGCACTATGTATTTTATCTACCTGCGGGGTCCTGGATTGAACGCTAACTGTTTTGTGCGTTGCTTGTGCTCGCGTGTGGCGGTACCAAGGCATCGCCTCTTTGTGTGAAAACAGTGGCACCATACCACCAGCAACACCGACCCCAGCAATACCAACACCAACGAGAGAGAAACCCACACCACCGTTAGAATGACCATGTCAGCAACAGCAACAGCAACTCACCGTCCTATTGACGTTGCGGTCGGTATCTATGTTCTCCATTGCCATCCCAATAATGTAGCCTAGACTACACGCGGGGCGCATCATGTCTGGTGCGGCCATGGAAGACGACGCGGAGGAGGAGTGGTGGGGCTCTCCCCCTGCTTCTCTCGCACTGTTGTTCATGGCGATCTGGAGCCCAACATCAAACTCCATCGACCGATGAAGGGTGGCCACGATGTGCTGCGACGAGTTCGGTTGAAATGAGATCGGGCGACGTAGAAGTTGATGATGATGAAAGCTTCACCATTGTTGCGAAATAAAACGTAGGCAGGCCAACGTCGACTGTTTATTCGAACCTCTACATACATGCTCTCACCATCTCTGAGAACTCGTTGCGGCTAGCCCACCATACGTCGAACGCGCGAGCCACGATGGCAATCCCCCGCTTTAGCTGAAGCCCCATGGCTTCCTCGTTGGTTCCGCCCGCCGCTGGCGTTGTCGCTAAACCGGGCACTTTCTTCAGCATCTTTACGATGCCCACCGCTTCCTGGACGCCGTGGTAGTCGCGGTCGTCATCCTTGGCAAGTCTTGTGTGTTTCTCCCAGCGCTGCTGCAGCGTCTCGATCAGGTCGAACACGGCCTTGACGTACCCCTGCAATGAAGTGGGGGTGGAGGCGACGGGGGCGACGGCGCGAGGGAGAAAGGGATAAGCATGCGTTGCACACATTCACCATCCACGCTCGACGAGTCGTTTTGTAGCGGCGGTGTCAGTCGTGACCTCGGTTCATGATAGTCTCGTATGTGGGAAATGCCACGTCAAAGAAGACTAGCGTGGCCACTTCAGTGCACCCCGAAGCCAAGGCCGGCTTCAGCGTTTCCTGGAGCAAGCGCGAGGAAGTTTTACTGGCAAGTACTTTCCGGGGACAATGGTTTGTTGTCGACGGGTAATTGCGCCCCACGGGGCCAAACTACCTCGTCGGAACGCAACGCAAGAAAAAATAACCACTGTATATCGATAATGCTTGAGAACGTATTGACAATGGTCGGGAAGGACTGGTGCGACCTCAACCACGGGGTTGTAGCAGGGTGGCACGTGTAGACGCCAAAATAATTTCCTATACTTGTTGTACATCATCCGGCTCAGCTCAGTCGTTGCATCGCAGAGAAGATATCGATGGTGGCGATAGTTGCCCTATCTTAGCCAAACGTTCTCCTTCAGCTCAGGTTTCAGAATACCATCAGTTCCACAAGGATACCAGAACACGTATTGTATGGCGTGGGCACGACGACAGGAATCCGTACCTGATAGGGCAGCGGAATGTCGAACAATGCCCCTCCCTCGAGGCACCCGTCCTGGAGCTTTCCCATCAAATCACGGAGCCTTCCCGGACTCTCCACGGCCCACAGGATGACAATCAGGAACCAGCTACTCGAGTAGCAGTTGCCACAATTGTCGACAACCACCATTACTGAGCCATCACACCAGGGTTTGACGTCCTCGACGACTGAGCGCGTGTAGTTTGACATTTGTTCGTACCCGGCGAGCGGGATGGGCTGATTTCCGACGCAGAATCGCACAAAAACACATGCAGCACGGACGAAACGAGCGCCCCAGTGGCAGAGACAAAACCGCAGGCAGGACGCGTCGGTATACGTTGCAAATTAATATTTTGGACGACTTGCTGGTAGAGGCTAGCGCAATCGACGCTTCGGCTACTGCGTTTACAAATTGAGGCACGTATTGCATCGGCCACTTACCGGACTACATCATTGATGCTGATGGAAGCCTCAACGACAGCCAATCACGCTCCTACCAACCCAGGATAGTACGTCAATATGGCGTTGCCCCTCCCCACCTTGTGGATGCTAAGCGCCGAAGAAGTCTCGGCTGTACCGACGTTGTGGGTCGGCGCTTCCTTCTCCCGTGCCTCGGTCGCCACCCTCCTGGGGTGATACAGAGGGAGAAACACGGAACCATACGATGCGTTACGAAGGCCTACGATTCTGCTGAAGCGTTTTCGCGACCCTTTCGAGGAAGGAGATGCGCTGCTCATTCTTGTCAAGTTCGGTTATTAGTTTTGCGACCTACACTTTTTGCTCTCGGCTCTCGCCGCCGCCGCTGCCGCCGTCGGGTCGTGCTTTTGTCTCTCCATAGCGCTGTGCTGCTCGCGCTTGAGACTCGTGATCCTCTGCTTTTGAGAGAGCGAAAACCTAAACAATGTCTTGTACTGTGAAATCAGAGCCTTTTGTCGCATCTTGGAATCAGCNTACTTTTTGCTCTCGGCTCTCGCCGCCGCTGCCGCCGTCGGGTCGTGCTTTTGTCTCTCCATAGCGCTGTGCTGCTCGCGCTTGAGACTCGTGATCCTCTGCTTTTGAGAGAGCGAAAACCTAAACAATGTCTTGTACTGTGAAATCAGAGCCTTTTGTCGCATCTTGGAATCAGCTCGCGCAGGTATTCGTATGACGGCGTAAGTTCCAAACGTCACGTGATCGAAGTTTCCTCAAGGCGATATCGAAATCAACAGCAAACTTTACACTACCCGTGGCAAACAGCAACATCATACCGATAGCACACACCAAGTGTCTCATCGGATGGGCATATTACTCTCGGGGGAGAATCCGACCCGAGAGACCCTTCGTCACCCCACCTGGTAGATTTCCGCTTCTTGGGAAAGGCCCTTTCGCGGAGAAGCGTCTGTGTCCCCTGATGACATCAACGTTGAACCCGAAATGTCGACGGTATGGGCGGGGGCAAGGATGGGTGAGCATCGTGCACGCTCGGCAATCACAAGGGCCTCACGTGTAAAAGGTCGGAGGTCCGGAAGTCACTTTGACCTGAGCTGTATCTAAGAGAATGGAATTCCAAGACGAAGCCCGCGGCACGAAGAACCCCATGCGGTCTGAGCCCCGCTCACAGCGGGAGGATATCCTGAGACGCGCACAACAACACANGTGCACGCTCGGCAATCACAAGGGCCTCGCGTGTAGAAGGTCGGAGGTCCGGAAGTCACTTTGACCTGAGCTGTATCAAAGAGAATGGAATTCCAAGACGAAGCCCGCGGTACGAAGAACCCCATTCCGTCTGAGCCCCGCTCACAGCGGGAGGATATCCTGAGACGCGCACAACAACACACACCTTTTTCTCGGCCTCTTTCTCCTCGAGGCGGCGGTGAAGAGTTGCTACTTCCTCCGACAGTTGTCCGTTCGCCGCCCACCGCGGAATGACTTCATCCTTCTCGACGATGACCACCGCGGCGTCGTGCTGGATCTGGCGACAAGTTACAGGAGCACGTCCACACCGATGTGCAACATACGTGATAAGTGGGAAACTATTGTAAAGCTTTGAACACGAACATTCGGAAATGTAGCCGAAGTCACTCGATCAACGATTGCCAGATCCTGCGCTCATTCACACACATTCACATCTCACACCTGCTGAGATTGGACCCGTCGCGCGAGAAGGTCTTCGCCGGCAAGCCCCTGTGTCTCCTGATGGCATCAATGTTCAACCCGAGATTATCGATGGTGTGGGCGAGGAGCCAAGGATGGGTGAGCACCGTACACGCAACAATCACCAGAGGATCGTATGTGGAAGGTTGGAGGACCAGGAGACAGTTCAGCGTTCGCTGTATCGACGAGTCTGGAATTCCAAGACGAAGCCCGCGGTACGAAGAACCCCATGCGGTCTGAGCCCCGCTCACAGCGGGAGGATATCCTGAGACGCGCACAACAACACACACCTTTTTCTCGGCCTCTTTCTCCTCGAGGCGGCGGTGAAGAGTCGCTACTTCCTCCGACAGTTGTCCGTTCGCCGCCCGCCCACGCCGAATGACTTCATCCCTTTCGGCGATGACCACCGCGGCGTCGTGCTGGATCTGGCGACAAGTTACAGGAGCACGTCCACACCGATGTGCAACATACGTGATAAGTGGGAAACTATCGTAAAGCTTTGAACACGAAGATTCGGAAATGTAGCAGAAGTCACTCGATCAACGATTGCCAGATCCTGCGCTCATTCACACACATTCACATCTCACACCTGCTGAGATTGGACCCGTCGCGCGAGAAGGTCTTCGCCGGCAAGCCCCTGTGTCTCCTGATGGCATCAATGTTCAACCCGAGATTATCGATGGTGTGGGCGAGGAGGCAAGGATGGGTGAGCACCGTACACGCAACAATCACCAGAGGATCGTGTGTGGAAGGTTGGAGGACCAGGAGACAGTTCAGCGTTCGCTGTATCGACGAGTCTGGAATTCCAAGACGAAGCCCGCGGTACGAAGAACCCCATGCGGTCTGAGCCCCGCTCACAGCGGGAGGATATCCTGAGACGCGCACAACAACACACACCTTTTTCTCGGCCTCTTTCTCCTCGAGGCGGCGGTGAAGAGTCGCTACTTCCTCCGACAGTTGTCCGTTCGCCGCCCGCCCACGCCGAATGACTTCATCCCTTTCGGCGATGACCGCCGCGGCGTCGTGCTGGATCTGGCCACAAGTTACAGGAACACGTCCACACCGATGTGTAACAATCGTGATAAGTGGGAAACTATGGTAAAGCTTTGAACACGAACATACGGAAATGTAGCCGAAGTCACTCGATCAACGATTGCCAGATCCTGCGCTCATTCACACACATTCACATCTCTCACCTCCTGAGATTCAACCCGTCGTGCGAGAAGGTCTTCGCCGGCAAGCCCCTGTGTCTCCTGATGGCATCAATGTTCAACCCGAGATTATCGATGGTGTGGGCGCGGAGCCAAGGATGGGTGAGCACCGTACACGCAACAATCACCAGAGGATCGTGTGTGGAAGGTTGGAGGACCAGGAGACACTTCAGCGTTCGCTGTATCGACGAGTCTGGAATTCCAAGACGAAGCCCGCGGTACGAAGAACCCCATTCGGTCTGAGCCCCGNAGCCAAGGATGGGTGAGCACCGTACAAGCAGCAATTACCAGACGATCGTGAATGGAAAGGTTGGAGGACCAGGAGACACTTCAGCGTTCGCTGTATCGACGAGTTTGGAATTCCAAGACGAAGCCCGCGGTACGAAGAACCCCATTAAGTCTGAGACCCGCTCACAGCGGGAGGATATCCAGAGACACGCACAACAACACACACCTTTTTCTCGGCCTCTTTCTCCTCGAGGCGGCGGTGAAGAGTCGCTACTTCCTCCGACAGTTGTCCGTTCGCCGCCCGCCCACGCCGAATGACTTCATCCCTTTCGGCGATGACCGCCGCGGCGTCGTGCTGGATCTGGCGACAAGTTACAGGAGCACGTCCACACCGATGTGCAACATACGTGATAAGTGAGAAACTATTGTAAAGCTTTGAACACGAACATTCGGAAATGTAGCCGAAGTCACTCGATCAACGATTGCCAGATCCTGCACTCATTCACACACATTCACATCTCTCACCTGCTGAGATTGGACCCGTCGCGCGAGAAGGTCTTCGCCGGCAAGCCCCTGTGTCTCCTGATGGCATCAATGTTCAACCCGAGATTATCGATGGTGTGGGCGAGGGGGCAAGGATGGTTGAGCACCGTACACGCAACAATCACCAGAGGATCGTGTGTGGAAGGTTGGAGGACCAGGAGACACTTCAGCGTTCGCTGTATCGACGAGTCTGGAATTCCAAGACGAAGCCCGCGGTACGAATTCTCTCATGCGGTCTGAGCCCCGCTCACAGCGGGAGGACATATCCTGAGACGCGCACAACACACACACCTTTTTCTCGGCCTCTTTCTCCTCGAGGCGGCGGTGAAGAGTCGCTACTTCCTCCGACAGTTGTCCGTTCGCCGCCCGCCCACGCCGAATGACTTCATCCCTTTCGGCGATGACCGCCGCGGCGTCGTGCTGGATCTGGCGACAAGTTACAGGAGCACGTCCACACCGATGTGCAACATACGTGATAAGTGGGAAACTATTGTAAAGCTTTGAACACGAACATTCGGAAATGTAGCCGAAGTCACTCGATCAACGATTGCCAGATCCTGCGCTCATTCACACACATTCACATCTCACACCTGCTGAGATTGAACCCGTCGTGCGAGAAGGTCTTCCCCGGCAAGCCCTTGTGTCTCCTGATGGCAGCAATATTCAACCCGAGATTATCGATGGTGTGGGCGAGGGGGCAAGGATGGGTGAGCACCGTACAAGCAGCAATCACCAGAGGATCGTGTGTGGAAGGTTGGAGGTCCAGGAGACACTTCAGCGTTCGCTGTATCGACGAGTCTGGAGTTCCAAGACGAAGCCCGCGGTACGAAGAACCCCATGCGGTCTGAGCCCCGCTCACAGCGGGAGGATATCCTGAGACGCGCACAACAACACACACCTTTTTCTCGGCCTCTTTCTCCTCGAGGCGGCGGTGAAGAGTCGCTACTTCCTCCGACAGTTGTCCGTTCGCCGCCCGCCCACGCCGAATGACTTCATCCCTTTCGGCGATGACCGCCGCGGCGTCGTGCTGGATCTGGCGACAAGTTACAGGAGCACGTCCACACCGATGTGCAACATACGTGATAAGTGAGAAACTATTGTAAAGCTTTGAACACGAACATTCGGAAATGTAGCCGAAGTCACTCGATCAACGATTGCCAGATCCTGCACTCATTCACACACATTCACATCTCTCACCTGCTGAGATTGGACCCGTCGCGCGAGAAGGTCTTCCCCGGCAAGCCCTTGTGCCTCCTGATGGCATCAATGTTCAACCCGAGATTATCGATGGTGTGGGCGAGGGGGCAAGGATGGGTGAGCACCGTACAAGCAGCAATCACCAGAGGATCGTGTGTGGAAGGTTGGAGGTCCAGGAGACAGTTCAGCGTTCGCTGTATCGACGAGTCTGGAGTTCCAAGACGAAGTCCGCGGTACGAATTCCCCCATTCGGTCTGAGCCCCGCTCACAGCGGGAGGATATCCTGAGACGCGCACAACACACACACCTTTTTCTCGGCCTCTTTCTCGGCATGGCGGCGGCGAAGAGCACAAGCGTTCTTGGAAATGCGCTTGTTCCTCGACCGCACACCACTGTGCGAGGAGGGAGAGCAGGAACGGCTTCAG